GTTGGAATCGTGGGAAAACGGGTCGCCCCGGCCAATCCCGGCCCGTTTCCAGTTGAACCCGAGACGGGCCAGCCCATATGAGCCGGGCTGGCCCGTTTTGACAGCTCTAGATCGACACCTTTGTTTGACACCTTTAAGATGTCACAAGCTTGCTTTGCTGTTTGAGCACAAGCTAATTGCCCAAAAATAGAGTAATGAACACTATGATGAATCTGTCCCAAGGCCAACTGATCTCGCCATGTTTGGGCTGCATCAGCTCCTTCGGGTATACCGGAATCAACAAAGCTCCAAAGATTTTGAGCTTTCAAATGTGTGGACATCATAATTTGCCAATAATTGTAATCGAGTTTCCCGTCCAATTCGGGACCCGACCATACAATATTGAAATTTGCAGCCATATTTCACTACGAACAATATCTCGGGGTTGAAAGGTTGACTGGTTGAAAGGTTGACTGGGTCTGATACCAAACTTTAGATATATATATATATATATATAGGGATGCACTCAGGTGCGAATAAGTGCTTAGGAGGGAAATGCGAACGAATCAGCGCGCGACACGTGTCCAGATCTAATAACTTAAAAAAAAACGTGGTGGCATTTTGCGTAAATAATTAAACATCGAAGTGCAAGTAAAATCACTTACAAGTGCACCTACTTTCACCTATAAGTGCATGTAATTTTTCCTTGTTAGCATTCACTTTCCGCAAACATTCATGCACCTGGGTGTGCTTATAACTATCTGTGCAACTATTTATAACTATAGGTGCAACTACTTATAACTATAGGTGCACCTACTTTCACCTATAAGTGCATGTAATTTTGCCTTGTTAGCATTCACTTTCCGCAAACATTCATGCACCTGGGTGTGCTTATAACTATATGTGCAACTATTTATAACTATAGGTGCAACTACTTATAACTATAGGTGCACCTACTTTCACCTATAAGTGCATGTAATTTTGCCTTGTTAACATTCATTGATCTGAGTTCAGCGGGTAGTAATACCCCAGAAAACCACTCGCAAACATTCATACACCTAGGTGCAACTACTTATAACTATGTGTGCAACTACTTAGAACTATTGGTGCAACTACTTAGAACTATAGGTGCAACAAAGTATTGATGCTCAGTGTAAATTTTTACTTGCACCTATAATACATTTTACATGCACTTGTAATACATTTTACTTGCACTTCGATGTTCAATTATTTATGAAAATGCCACCGTGTTTTTTTAAAAATCAGTGTTTCTCATCCATTAGATCTGGACATGTGGACGAACAAAATTCATTCCTATTTCGCGCCTGGGCGAAGCATTTGCACCTGAGTGCGATTCTATATATATATATATATATATATATATATATATATATATATATATATATATATATATATATATATATATATATATATATATATTTGAGAAGAGAGAGAGGAATAAACAGATAATGTTTATTGCTGGGATAATTAACAAATGAACAAAAGCCACATATTTATACTAAAGGAAAACTAATAATGAGAGAATTAATACTCCATGTACTGCTATAATCTAGGCCACTTTCACATTAACTAATCATACATGACACACCACACACCTATGTTTATTTACTGCATTAGTTAGACTTGGTTTAATTAATTATAATAATATTATTATTATAACTACACTGACCCACAGTTTGTTGTGTTGCAGGTACATGAGGATCGGCAGGAACCGTGGTTCCTGACGGTTCTTTATGGGAGCCCAGAATATATACTACGGCGCAAGCTCTTTGCAGATCTTACCCAGCAGAACCTTGGTTTACAAGGGTCCTAGTTGGCGGTAGGGGATTTTAACGTGATAACCTGTGGGAAGGAAGTGAGTAGTCCGGAAAACCTGTCTACCACACGCTGCTCAGATTTCAATAATTGGATTGCCCAAGAAGATCTTATAGTTTTAGGATATAGTGGTTAGAAATCTACTTGGTTTAGAGGGTTGAATACTTCATCATTCAAGGGGGCAAGACTTGATCGTGGGCTGTGCAATTCCGTATGGAGGTTAAGATTTATAGATGTGATAGTGGTGATATGAACCTTGCCCAAGATTCAAATAAGATGGAATATTGTCCCAAGAATGCTCTCAATGCAAAGATAGAGATGGATCAAAATACCTTAAACCTAACGAGAAACCCTTTGCCTCGAATCCTCAAAGACTTGGAAGAATCCCATTGTAGCTTCAAGTACCTCGATGATGCAATCTTCAATCAACTAGAGTCGGATCTAGTTTCCTTCGATTCAAGAACGAGTCCACGAACCTAAATCTAAGGTTGAAGAAAGGAAGATTGATTCGAGTCCACGAATCAATTTGGACTCGACTAGCCACTAATTGAGTCCACAATTAGCCATAAGGTTTCTTACACATGTGTAAAGAAAAACTTAGGAATTTTATTGAATTAAAGCCTGATCGAAACTGATATGGATGTGCCCTATTTATAGGTATAGGGGCAGCATTATAATCCTAAATACAATGGGAAAAAGAGTCCTAAACCTAATCTAGAAAACAAGTAAATAGAGTCTTATTTAGAAAGGGATTTAAGAAATCCTTTCTAAATACAAACTAGTGTTTTCTCTTTTATGCCAAACAATTTAAACTAATGATGAACAAAAATAATAGGGCTGATTTGGGCCTAATTTAATCACGAAATTCAGCACTTAAACAATTATAAAAAGCCTTGAGTTCTTCGCCATCATTTGCAATTGGGCTTGAATTGGATTTCCACCATTTTTGAACATAACAAATGAAGAGTTGTCTTAATTGTTTGGACTAAGACCTTGTGATTGGCCCAAATGGTACTCTTAATGGATCTTCAGTAGTTTGGGTTGCATTATCCTCCCCTTCTTGAAAATGATTCGCCCTCGAATCTGTGCAATCATATAGAGACAAGTCTGAAACATTGAAAGTAGAAGAGACATTGTATTCTCCTCTAAGATCAACCTTATTAGCGTTATCTCCAATCCGTGATATAACTTGAAATGGGCCATCTCCACGTTGATTCAGCTTTGACTTTCTTTTGCGGGGAAAACGGTCTTTGCGCAAGTGAATCCACACCCAATCTCCAGGCTCAAACGTGATCTTTTTCCTTGTCTTGTTCACTCGAGCAGCTATTTGTTCGTTCCTTTTCTCAATTTGTTCTTTGACTTTAACATGCATCTCCTTGATCTTCTTGGCACGTTCTTCTCCATCTAAGCTATCCTGCGGATTGTAAGGCAAATCAAGTATGTCTATGGGAGATAACGGATTGAAACCATACACAACTTCGAAAGGAGACATGTTAGTGGTTGAATGTATTGCACGATTATAAGCGAATTCAACATGAGGCAAACATTCTTCCCATGATTTTAGATTTTTAGAGATCACGCTTCTAAGTAATTGGGATAAGGTTTTATTAACTACTTCTGTTTGTCCATTAGTTTGAGGATGACAAGTAGTAGAAATTAGCAACTTAGTCCCAATTTTAGCCCACAGAACACGCCAAAAGTGGCTAAGAAATTTAGAATCTCTATCAGAAACAATAGTCTTAGGGATGCCATGCAATTTAACAATCTCAGCAAAGAAAAGATTAGCAATATGAGTTGCATCATCAGTTTTGGTGCAAGCAATAAATCTAGCCATCTTACTAAAACTATCAACTACAAAAAAAAAAAATAGAATCTTTTCTCTTAGAACTCATAGGTAACCCTAGAACAAAATCCATAGAAATATCAAGCTACGGGCCGCTAGGAAAAGAGAGTGGTGTGTAGTACAATTATTCACAAAAGTCTCAACGTCTTTTTTCATTCTAGGCCAATAGAAGTGTTCATGCAACGCATCATAGGTTTTAGAAATACCGAAGTGTCCCATAAGACCACCTCCATGTGATTCAGAGATCAAACTCACACGCAAGGAACAATTAGGAATGCACACTCTATTTTCCTTAAACAAAAACCCATCTGACAAGTAAAACTTTCCCAAAGGAGATCGTACACAAGAGGTAGATCTCGCCAAACACTGAATCACTAGCATAGAGAGACTTAGGGTCCATTTGGAAAGCAGGAAAATGACTTCTGGAAAATGTTTTATGGAAAATGAGTTATTTTCTGGAAAACATTTTTCTTTCTCGTGTTTGGCTGCAAAGCGGAAAACTGTCTTTAGTGTGTTTGGTTCGTTTTCTGAAAAATGGGATAGAATTATATAGTTTATATAATTAATTATTTTGTTTAAAATATAAAAATATTTATATTTTTGAAATCAAATAATATACATAAATAAAGTTATTAAAAATTTAAAAAAATTAAATTAAAAAAAAAAGAAAAAAAAAGAAAGAAAGAGACGTCGGAAACCAGAGAGTTTTCTCTGGTCAGCCGGAAACCAGAGGGCACTGCTCTCTGGTTTCTGGCCGGAAACCAAAGAGTTTTCTCTGGTTTCCGGCCGGAAATTAGAGAGCACTGCTCTCTGGTTTCCGGCCGAAACCAGAGAGCACACTGCTCTCTGGTTTCTGGCCGGAGATGTCCGACCGGTGCTTGCCGGAAAACGTACGGTCACAAATCCGAGAACCAAATCCCATGAGGAGAGAACAATGCGCAATAGGTGTTGGTGAAGTTGTGGAAATTTTTTGGCCAGAAGATGAGAGAACAAAGAATGGAAAATGACTTCCCCAAAAAAAAAAAAAAAGGGAAGTCATTTTCCGGAAAAGAGGCTTCATTTTGCATTGACTATGTGACATTTTCCTTTGACTTCCATTTTCCTTACAAAGCCAAACACCAAAAACCCAGAAAATGATGGAAATCATTTTCCGGGTTTCCAAACACACCCTTAATGAAAACAAAACCAAGAAACTTAGCATGTAAAGTATATCTCCTAGATAAAGCATCAGCCACTTTGTTTTCCGTACCTTTCTTGTAGGCAATTTTATAAGGAAAAGCTACAATGAACTCGAGCCATTTAGCATGTCTCTTATTCAACTTACCTTGGCCTTTCAAATGTTTTAAGGCTTCATGATCAGTGTGTAAAATAAAGTCTTTAAACCATAAATAATGTTGCCAAAATAAAGTTCGTTATCATATGTGGGATAGTTGAGTGGTGCGCCACCCAACTTCTCACTAAAATAGGCAATGGGGCGTTTATCCTGCATCAGTATAGCACCAATTCCAATACCAGAAGCATCACATTCTAGTTCAAAAGTTTTATCAAAACAAGGCAAAACTAGAACAGGAGCGGCGGTGAGTTTCTCTTTCAATGTAGCAAAAACTTGTTCCTATTTAGGCCCCCATTTGAAGATGGTGTCTTTCTTAATCAAATCATGCATAGGGGCTGCTATGGAGCTGAAATAACGTACAAACTTTCTGTAGAAACCTGCCAGTCCAAGAAAACTACGCAAGTTAGATACATTAGTTGGCGTTGGCCAACTTGTGATAGCTTCAACCTTTTTTGAATCCATGGTCACACCTTCTATACTAACATGAAATCCTAAAAACTCAACATGCTCAGACATAAAAGAACACTTCTCAAGATTGGCATACAACTGTGCAGCCCTAAGTTCAAGAAAAACTAATCGAAGGTGTTTCAAGTGTTTTTCTTGTGACTTGCTATAAATCAGAATATCATCAAAGTAAACAACAACAAAATTACCAATAAATTTCATCAAAACATGGTTCATAAGTCTCATGAATGTGCTAGGGGCATTAGTTAAGCCAAAAGGCATGACTAACCACTCATATAAACCATGCTTTGTTTTAAAGGCTGTTTTCCACTCATCACCTTCTTTCATCCTGATTTGATGATATCCTCGTTTCAAATCCACCTTGCTAAAGTACTTAGCTCCATAAATTTCATCAAGTCGAGGAATAGGAAATCTATACTTAATAGTTATATTGTTGATTGCACGACAATCAACACACATTCTCCATGTACCGTCTTTTTTTGGGACAATGAGCACTGGAATGGCACACAGACTCAAGTTTTCTCGAATATGTCCAATTTCAAGAAGCTCTTCAACCTGTTTCTGGATTTCCTTTGCTTCCACGGGATTGGTTTTGTAGGCTGGTCGGTTTGGCAAGGTAGATCCAGGGACAAAGTCGATTTGATGCTCAATCCCTCTAAGTGGTGGCAATCCTTTTGGCATCTCTTTAGGGAATAAATCTGAAAAATCAGAAAGCAATTCATCAATAGAGGCATTACGAAAACAAGATTCAGAGTGTAACACCAGAGAAGAATCAAGATCAGTGGTAAGCTTATGAATGAAAAGTAAGTTAAACGTGTCTCCCCTTCTTATTGCCTTCTTAATGTCATTTTTTGTTGCAAGAAGAGAGGGCTGATGTGGTGATTCCTTTGCTAGGTTTTGAGATGAAAATGGCGTGGAATATGGCACTGATTTCGCCTGGAAAATGGCGCGGAAAATGGCGTGGAGTAAGACTGGAGGAGGTGGAGGCTTTGATTTTGGATAGGGGGAATATGGCACTGATTTCGCCTCTTTTGATGCCTTCCTCGATTTCAATAGTATTTCTTCCACCTGTTTAGGAGTCAAAGGAGACAAGACATATCTAACTCCATCCATGTGAAACACATAAGTGTTCATCATTCCATCAAAAGTGATTTTTCTATCAAATTGCCACGGTCTACCTAACAGCACATGAGCAGCCTGCATTGGGACAATATCACACAAAATTTCATCACGGTAACTGTTAATAGATAAAGGAATAAGAGCCTACTTTGTTACTCTAACTTCTCCTGCGTCGGTTAACCATTGCAAACGATATGGATTAGGGTGATCAAGAAAAGGTAATTGAAGAAATTTAACCATAGCTGCACTAGCCACATTTGTGCAACTTCCAGAATCTATTATCACAGTACAAGCATTCCCTCTAATTGACCCTTTAGCATAAAATATATTTTCTCTTTGAGACTCATCTTCTTTTAAAGGATGAACATTCAAAACCTTCTTAACAACAAGAGTATGAACAGACTCACTATCAGCATATTCATAATCAAAATCTAAAGGTAAAGGTGGTTCCTCCTCAACATGCTCATTGGGGGTTTCCAAATGGTCACTAACATCATCCTCAGACTCATATTCAAGACAAGAAGCAAACTTTTCACATTGTTTTGTTATCTTAACTACCCTCTTGTTAGGACTATCACGAGCCATATGGCTTCTTCCATTAAATCTATAACAAATCAATTCCCTATCACGTTGAGGCCTCACTGCCTCACTTACCTTTTCCTTACCTTTGTCTCGTGAATCATCTCTTGGAAGAGGGCGTTCATCACGCCTTTGAGGGGTAGAACAAGTGTTGTTCCATCTTGATGCACCATTGTTGGGCTTGTGCATCTTCATCTCTTTGATTTTTGCTTCAGATTCGCGTGCAGCATACAAGGCATCATTAGGGGTGTCATATCTTTGTGTACTCATCCCCCACCGGATTTCTTTGTTCAATCCATGTAAGAAACGAGCAATAGTTCTTGCCTCATCTTCATGTATGTCCCCTTGCTCAAGCAAAATATTGATTGTTCGGTGATAGTCATCAACCGACATTGATCCCTGAACGGTTCCCTGCAATTTTCTTTCAAGATCATAGAAAAAAGATTTAGGGCGAAAGGTTAGGTGCATATGTTCCCTTACTTGAACCCAAGATTCATAGGGAATAAAATCCGCAACTCTCTCCCTATTTCTTTTTCTCCACCAAGATATTGCATACCCCTTAAATGATGTAGCAACTAGCTTAATTTTTGTAAGATCAGAATAGTGCTTTAAATCAAAAAGTGTTTCAACAACATTCTCTCATTCTATATACTCTGTTGGTCCCTTCTCACCAGAGAAGTTAGGAATTTCAAGATTAATGTTTCCTAGCTCTTCATTAGGTTGTTGGATCCTTTGACATCTAGGATCCACTCTCCCAGCTGGTGCCAGGTGTCGCTCATCATTGTGTGGTGGTTGCACTTGCTGTGGGCGTTGCTCCAGATTAGTCATTCGTGTGAGTAACACGTCCATGGCGAATGTTAAAGCATCTATTTTTTCTTCCAATGTCTGGGGTGGGTTTGGAACTTGTTCATCCATCTGTAATGGAAGAAAAAAAATTCTAAAAACAAAAAGATGTGTGAGTAGACACGTTAGTGAAACCAAAAAGTTGGCTCGCTCCCTCACTATTTTCAGCTCGCAGGTAAGAGGTGGATTATATAGCTTTGGGGGTGCACTACACACTCTTACAAACACACACTCCACTCGTGTATCGCTCAAGGTGGCAGATACTCTCACTAGCCTTTTTCCAAAAAGGAAAATTCTAGTCCGGTACTCAAGTTGATATGGATTCAACCTCAAATTTCAAGAAAACGTACCTTGGAAGACTTCACAAGCCTTTGAGAGTAAGGGTGTATCGCGAGATAGGTAATAAAATTGAGAGCAAGAAGCAAAGAAAAAGGACAATACGAGCAAAGAAACTAAATAAGATTTGAAAGAAAAAGGAAACCAAAGAAGAAAGTATGGCAGAAAGATGTGCAAGACCAATATCAACAGATAGAGACAAATAGAATGTAAGAGGGGTTCAAGTATACCACAACAAAATAGGAATCTATCAACAACTCCTTCCAACCTTATACTTTTCCCCTTCCTTTTCCGTCCAAGATTCTCCTACCAACCTTATTCTTTCCCCAACCTTATTCTTCTTCTTCTTTTGCTTTCTCTTTTTTTTTTTTTTTTTTTTTTTTTTTTTTTTTTTTTTTTTTTTTTTTTTTGCTTTTTTTTTTCAACTTTCTTGATTTTATTTTTTTGATTTTTTTTTTGATAAGTAACCTCCAAATAACTACTGTAAATATCAACAAAAATTTCGGACCAAGAGGATCCACACAACCCCTTCAAAACAGAATCAAGAATTTCAAGAATCACCCAGAAAAACAGAAACGCTTTGCTTACTTTGAAGATCAATATCTAAATGACCGTAAGGAGTTAGCAAGTTTATAATATATCAAAAGAACGCCCAAGAATATATCTACAACATATCAAAATTTCAAATAAAACTAACCAATGGATCTCAAGATATAGGTCATTCTTTGAAACTGGTCACAGAACGCGGAAATCTGGACAGGGTATGATTGCGACGTGATTGCGCGTAAATGCGCTTTGGATATAGGTAAGGGTAAGATGGGGTTTCTTTCTTGACAGAATGTGTGGTAATATGGTGTTTAGGAGGTGTGAGATACTATCAGGGACATTCACAACAGGTAAAACATAAACAAGTTCCTTTCTCGCAAGATAGTTTAACCCAGAGAAATGAAAATGCCCAAACTGCATATGACATAACCAATTATCATCACAAACTTCATAATTAAAGCAAGCAAGGAGAGTATTCTTAATTTTCAAAGGAAATAGTCGATTTTGGGACATATTTATCTTTGCAATCAAGACTCCCTTAGCATCTGCAATGGTACAACATCCCTGAGTAATATTTATCTTATATCCTTTTTCTGATAATTGTCCCATACTCAACAAATTTTGGTGTAGTTCATGAACATAGAACACATCGGATATAAAATTGTGAGTACCATCCTTCAACTGAATAGAGATTTTACCTTTTCCCAAAATTGGCACCTTTGACTTATTGCCAAATGTCACTTCAGATCGGACTGATTCATCCAGTTCAGAAAATAATTCTTTCTTCCCACATATATGGTTACTACACCCAGTATCCAAGAACCATATGTTCTTATCTGCAGAAAAACTATCGCTGGCCAAAAGTAATGTTTCAGAACTCTCACCAGACTTTTCAGCAGTGTTTTCAGCAATGTTTACTTGATTTCCACGATTATCCTCATTATACCAGCAATCTGCAATTTTGTGCCCATACTTGCCACAATTGTAGCAATGAAATGGAAATTTACCTTGTTTGGTATTTGTTGGTCCCAAAGGGGGTGTGGTAAAAGTCTAGAGAGGGGGGGGGGGGGGCGAGGGAGGGGTGAATACTTTTAAACTTTTCGCGAATGCAACAATTGCTAAGGCAACAGAGATATCAAAACTCTTAACTAGATTGTTAGAGTCTTGTACGCAGCGGAATAAATAAATACGAGTTGTGTGATTGTGTCAAGTGTATCCACGTGATAAGCAGTAAGAAAATAAAGCAGTAAATGACACAAGGCAATTTATAGTGGTTCGCGAGGTGATGTAATCTTCCTACTCCACTTGCTCTTATCATCCAAGAGCAATTCACTATATCCACCACTTCTTGGTTCCTAGATACAATGAATTTCCGTGATCTAGTGCTTTGATCACTAAGCCCACACTAATCACGCCCAGTGCCTCCAACACTACTGCTTCGGATTTCACAGCTCCGTGCTACTTTCTAGGATTTCACAGCTCCGTGCTACTTTCCCCCCGTCTTCCACGATCCGGTCGTCGTATCCCGTGATCTGGTGCTTTGATCACCAAGCCCACACCAATCACGCCCAGTGTTCTCAAACACTGCTGTTTTGGATCTCACAGATCCGTGTGACAATCCAGGATTTCACAACTCCGTGCTACTTTCCCCCCGTCTTCGACGTATCCCGTGATCTATTTCTTTGATCACAAAGCCCGCACTAATCACGTCCAGTTTTCTCCAACACTGTTGATTCACTTGTTTGTAGAAAAACAAGTTTCACTGACTTTCCAACTTTGAGACTTCTTGAATGGATCTTCAATATGCAGAAAGTCTCTCAATGATGAAGAATTAAACACTCTTGAATATTTTCTCCTTGAGCACTCTGAGTGTTTTTCTCACTTGAATATTTTCTCACTTGTAAGCTTTTTCAAGCAGATTGGATTCGTATGATCTCACGTTTTTGGTTCGTTGGAAGTTCTGTGGAAAGTGAGTTGATCTGCTTCATTCTTCATCCTTTTATAGCTGGTCTTGAGAAATTGTCCGTTGGAAAAAGACAATCTCAAATTTGAATTGTAGATCTCAAATTTGAATTCCAAATATCAGATTTAAAATCTTGTAGCCGTTTGCAAAAGATCTGTAGCTTTCTCAGAAGATCATATTAAAAATGATATCTCTGATGTTTTGGCCATTGTCTAGCATGTGATCCATGTGAAGGGACTTAAAATATTTCTGATGCAGATCTGTCTTCATGTGAAGGCTTCTTAAAATAATTTTTATGTAGATCATGCGCCTTCTAGGACTTTCATCTTCTGTGTATTATATTCTCTCTATATGGCTAGTGATGAAGTGTTTCGGCCAATGAGATCTCTTGATGTGGGTCTCATTTTGATGGTGAGAATTCAATCCTTGATTGAAACTTAACTACTATATGTGGCTTTGGAACTTCATCTCATACTCCATTACTCCATCTCTAACTTCAGCTCAGACTTGACTTTGCAAACCGCATCTCTAACTTCATCTACAATCTCTATTATTTAATTGATTTCGAAACTGCCTTTGAAACCTCTGCTCCAACTTAGTCCCGAATCCACTTAGTCTCTAACTTAGTCCCGAATCCACTTAGTCTCGAATCCTCTTTTCATCTCCACCTCAGCGGTTCACCTCTGCTCCAACTTAGTCTCACCTCTGCTCCAACTTAGTCTCGGTTCACCTCTGCTCCAACTTAGTCTCACCTCTGCTCCAACTTAGTCTCGAAACCTCTGCTCCAACTTAGTGGTTCACCTCTGCTCCAACTTAGTCTCGAAACCTCTGCTCCAACTTAGTCTCGAATCCTCCAAGTTCTATTATTTAATTGATTTCCAAGTTCTATTATTTAATTGATTTCGAAACCGCTGCTCTTACCTTGTCTCCAAGTTCTATTATTTAATTGATTTCGAAACCGATTTTGAAACCTCTACTCCAACTTCACTTGAATTGATTTTGAAACATCTTTTGAAACCTCAGCTCCTACTTGATCTCCTTCTTAGTTTCGAAAGTTTCGAATTACTTGAATTAATTTTGAAACTTCTTCTCTTGGAACTGATTTAAGGCTTCTTTATAAAATTATAGGGAGTGAGTTTCGAACCTGAAACCTTACGACTTATTCATCAAGCTGTCATCCATCTTAGCTGTACAAATTATTGGTTATTATAGCATTCCTTTTGATGTACTTCTTTCTTTCCATAGATGCTTGATCTTCAAGATAACTTCATGAATTTTGGTTTGCTTCTCGTTTCTTCGTATGAGATTCATCAGTATAACTTCTTCTTTGAGTTGTGCGTGTGGGCTTATTTTGTATACATATCATATGCATACATCTTCTTCTTCGTATTTTTCCCTTTCTTCATATTTATTAATTTTCCTTTCATGGTCTATGACACGCCTAGACTTAACAAATAAAGTTGGGGATTCTAAAATACAATTTGGCATATCAAAACTATTACAATATATTCCTAACAATTTCCCCCCTTTTGATAATGCCAAAATCCTATACTCAGTCATTGGCTTTAAGTCTTTTCGAAAAATATTTTTGCTCAATTTTATTTGACAAAGCCATGATGAGTTTAACAAATATGTTCTAGGAAAATAAATTGACTCGTGAATTAATTTTAGACAAGTTCCTAATACGCATATTGCATTTTAATTTCTAGTCATTTTTCTCTTTATGCGTTTTACATGCTTGTCTTTTAATTTACATGCTTGTCTTTTAATTCACATACTAATTACAAGTTAAGATATCAAAAACAAATATAGACCACTTTAGGAAATTAACATAACTTGTACGATCTTACTAAGGGAAAATACTTGATAATTTTGAAACAGTAGTTTTACAAAAAAGTTTCAAAAATTATAAGATCAGATTACCTCTTTTGCCTCTTATCACTTCTTCCGTTCTTCATGACATCTTTGATGTGTTCCCTCATCTTGTGCACATCATTCTTGATACGTTCACAGAAGAATTCCTTGTTGACTTGTCCGGCGAGGTAATTTTCATATGCTTCTTTCAGAGTTGTTCCCGGTAGAACTCCAGCTTCGATCCATTCAATGCATTCATTGAAGCTTCTACCATGGCAAAGAGAATTTCATGTGGTTCCAGTGAGTT